GAAAATCAGAAGGCTTTTAGGTTTGTGTTCCATGCGGCTTTTAATTGTTATTCTGAGAGAATTTCAAGAAAAATGTTTTTGATAGTGTACTTGAAATACATATTGCTGTTTGTATTGATTACATCTTTTACACTTTACTGACAACTGAGTTGGTATTCCATCTCAGTTTTTATAGCAACAAGTGTTCCATAAGCAAATCTTTCAACTTGTTATTGATGACAGGAAAAATATGATAGTGGGAAGCAGGGCAGTGAAGGGATGATAGATGAAACTTTCAGGTGTACAGTTCCACCACAGCAGCTTTTATTGTTGCTGTCTTTTATCTGATCCAATTTATTATTTAAAAGAAAATTCTCTGAAAGAAATGCAGTCTGGCTATTAAGTATATGCTTTCGCATAACTTTTGGTTTTAGTAAGATTTTGTTTGCTGGAAGTTGTCGGTTAAAATCTTAAGGGTTTGGTGGTTGTGTGTGTGTTGTGTTTTCTTCCCTCACACACCCCCTCTTCCCTTGTCTCTTCTTGTTGGTTACAACTGCAGGTCAGTTTCAGTCTTTTTCCAGCGTGGACAAAACAGCTTATAATTTTTGTTTTTCATGCTCTGATAAATTTTAAATGCTCATAGAAGCTATAAATTGTAATATGTGTGTTTAGGGAAATGAGCCAAAAACTAGGGTTTAGAGAGTGAAGCTATGTCTGACATCTTACTTCTAATTCTTTAATATACTTTTTACTGGTAGAAAAATATTTAACACTTCCTACTTCATAATTGGCATAAAATCAGCAGTGATTTTTAATTTCCATTCCTTTCTGTCATTCGTCCAGCAGGAAGAGGGAAGTAGCCTTTCTTTTGGTTGTTAACCTAATTACCTTTGCATGTCATTTCACCCCTCATATCTAGACTGAATATGGGTAGTGTTCATGTTGGGTAACTTTTTTTTCCCCACAAAGCATGGAAGGTTTCTTGTTCTTTTTTCTTAATATCTGGGTTTTGAATACTGTGGGGTCGTTTTGTATTTTAAAAGGTCTTTATCGTGTGTAGTGCGTATTACTGGGGATAGTAGATGATTTTCTTAAGTTGTGTAAAGATCAAAAAAGGTTAAATGACTCAGGTTTTGTAGGTTTTTTGAGGTGTGGGTTTTTTTTTTTATATTAAAGATGATTTAAGAGAAGTTTATCACCTGTAAAAGCCTTGATCAACTCTGATAAAAAATAGGGAAGTTGCTGTTCTAAAGCAATTTTTTTCTTGTTTTCTTCTGGCTATAGCCAGTAGAAAAATACTCTGGAGGAATTTCACGGGGGAATAATTATATCTGCAGGAGACATTTCTTTTTAATTACTATCAGGTAGTGATTAGTTTGACCCTAATGTGAAGGCTTATAACACTTTAAAAATATTCTATATGTGTTTTGATTGCTTATATGTATGTGTAATTATCTCTGATTCTTATTTAAACTTTGTTCTTGTGTCTTCTGTTGATGAATTCCTCAGCTCTGTGATTTATGTGGTGTCTTGTATGTTTAATGTTACTGCTCAATTTATTGACCATTCTCCTGGGATTTTCTTTGTTGTTGAAGCATAAATTGGATGATCTACTTTTTTGTATGTATTGTACATTAAATTGTATTTCTGTCATACCTTCATATTCATCACCTTATAATGGAAAAAAAAATCCTTTTTGACTACTTCCACCTGGAAGACAGTCAAAGTCTTTAATCACCGTTTACTTGTCTTTGGAATCCTTTTGCTTTCACAGTATCTTTTAGTAGTTGGCTTCCTCAAATCAAACATGTATCACGATCACAAATACCGTGGCATTTTTTCTTCTTGCATAATGTACTTCGCATTTGATAAATCAAATACTACAGGTAATCAGAAAGTGAACACAGGTATTGTAAATATTATTTTTATGGATTATTTTTAAATCATTTTTTCCCACCAAACTGTCTTGGTAGTGGTCAGTTTTGGTGGTGGTCTTTTTTTTTTTTATTTCTGGGTTAGTTGCAGTAGGAGTTGGTTCTTTCTGCAGACAGAGTAATTTAAAATTCAGTGCAATTGCAGTATATTTATCCATTTAATTTTACCTGGCACCATTCTGCTTGTGCTTTCTTCCACAGTTTTCAGTAATTAATGTTGCCACATCCTGTAATGTTGACGTTTATTAGCAAATATTTTCAGGGAATCTTTGTGTTTTCCTTCCTTTATTCTTTGAACTTCATGTAAGAATGTTGCTTATTTCTTCCCTTTGGGCAGTTTCTGATCAATGGAAATATGTACTCCTAGCCATTGTATTTTTTCCAAATGGCTTTGTCAAAAAACTTTGTATTTAACAAAAACTTCTCAATACATGGCTAAGTGGTTTAATTTATATATTGGAAAATTTCTAATCTGTTAGAAAGATTCCCTATGTTGACACTTTACTAGCTCATCTTTATAAAACTCCAAGGATGTTAAATATAATAAACTAATTATTTTCATCAATTTACTTGTAGCTTGGGGAACAAGGCTCACAGATTTATGATTCCTAGAATTGGTCCTACTACTTTTTTGTAAAAATAGGTACAGTGTTCACCTACCTCTGGTCATCTTACGGGGTAGTATATTTTAATGAAAGATTGAATATTTTAGCAGCTTGGACTTTTTTCCTTGCATTATTTTCAAGAATCTGAAATGGGTTTGCACAGGTCTTGGGGCTGTTTCCATATCCAGAAGCTCCCATTGCTAAATTATTTTCTGATAAGTACCTTTTTGGGTGTTTTTAATTACTCCCTCAGCTCTCTCAATTCCCTGTGGTTTGTGAAGTCTCTTTCAGGTTTTTATATCTAATGGGATTTTAAAAATCCTTAAAACTTTTTTCCTGCCCTTGAATGTTTGCGCTCTCAACACTGGTGTTTGATCACTGCAGTGTTTTTCGTAATATTAAACAATGGTTGTTTTGAAAAGTTCCAGAATAAATTCCAGAGTTGGACAATATAGCTTTGTCTCCAATAACCTTTGCAGTGTTTTTGTCCATCTTTCCGTGCACAAGCACATGCCTGTGTTTGTGCAGTTGCACCTGCAGGATAGCTAAAACCTTGGTATGATCTAATAGTATCTTTCATTATCATCACGTTGTGTGAATATTGGATTTGGTGATGATTTATACTTTGAATCTAAGTTAATTTTAATTCTGAAAATTATTCAACTTGGGTGTCTTTTGGCTTTGCACTCTTTGCTGAAATGGGGCTTGTGTTACGCTCCGAGCTCTAACTGCTCATGTGAAGGTACTGAGTGCGTTGGGTTTGCCGATATTCCAAAATATACTTTCTAAATAAAAATTAAAAATAAATCTTTTGTTTCTCTGTACATTAGTTTTAGATAGTTTCTGTTAGATGAAAAAGTGGGATGATAGCAAGGTTTTGAGGGTGAAGGGAAGACTTAACTAAGGTGGCCTGACTTTGCTTGCGAAGGGAGGAAGGCCAAGGAAAATGGAGCATTTCACTCGCACTGTGCAGAGGGAGGAGCTGCCTTTTGCTCTTACCTTTTCTGCCTTCTGCCGTTTCCGCTGTAGGATGAGGAGTAAACTTGCTTATAAAAGCTCATTCTCCTCTTGATGGAGGAATAAAAGGAATTTAGTCAGAGAAGTTGTCTACTTGTTTGTGTTCTCCTTCTGCTGAAAAAAAGCCTTTGACTAATTTCTGGAGGAATTGTTAATAATATTGCGGGGAAAATAGTATCTGCGTGAGGTATTTGAAGAAATTGAGAGTATAAATTATTATCATTCCCCCCCTTCCCTCTGGGAGGCAAATAGAGGTGTGCCTCTGTAGTACCCCGATGTTGCCTCCTCTAAGGTCAGACAGGGATCCTGCCTTACGCTCATTTGGAAGGCATTGCTCTTCTCCACTGTATTACAGCTTGTCTTCACAAACGTCCTGATGAGTAGGTTTAGGTGTAAGGGATAGATGGGTACTTAGGGATCACCCCCTTGCTACTTTCTATGAAGAGAAATGTTGAAAAATACACGCGTGTTTGTCTTGTGGAAAGGGTTTGGCAGGAGTGGTCACGGCCTCTTAGAGAGGATCCTCAGAAGCTGGAGAACCAGGTGTTTGCTTTCGCAGAGATGACTTTTATTCCTCTGAAGGCATTTGGCTGAGGTATGTGAGAATTGTAGAGTCTCGCAGGTGTTTTTAATAGGAAAGCGAAGCTGGCTACTAGCAATTTCTGCCTCTCCTTACACTGCCATGAGTAGAACCTAATAGTAAATTCCCCCTAGTATTTACTGTTTTTCTTGCTCTCCCTCTTTGAACTCTCAAGGTTATTCAGTTATTTTCCTCACAATTTCATTAGGAAATTTGCCAAAAACATCCTTTCTAGGCAGCTGTCTCTGGACCTTTGGAGGCCAGCACTAATGTGCTTCCAGTCTGTAGGGGGTGTTTGGCACGAAATTCTGAACTAGGCCTTCAGCGCTTAGGGGGAGAGAGGGGAGGAGATTGCAAACGGTTTACCACACCCAGGTGCAAACGTTTGCCTCCTCTATGAGCATTCCGAGGCTTTCATCTCTTGTGGTACCTGTTTCGTCCTGGTACGAGGTCTGTTAACAGCAACAAATTGTTGACGTGAGAGGATTGTAATGGAAGAGTTCTTTTCCTGTTCACCAAATGTTGCTTTGAAGGAAAGCTTTTGTGCGTGTGGGCAGGAGCGACTCCAGCAACCTTAAACTGTTTGGATATAATTTTTTAATGAGGCATTGATGTGTGGGGTGTTCTTTTGTTTTAAAATGGTGCTTGAAGGTGCTGTAGTGTTGTCTGCATGTAATACTTCATGTAAAATTGATTGGAATATGAGACGTTTTGCCGAAATTAATATTGGGAGGAGTTTTGCCTCTCAGAAAGAGTAAGAAACGCGTTTCAGTGCTTTCTTTCATGCCCCGCTTAACAATATAGGGAACTGCCGTACCATATGCACACACAATATATTTGTCAGACTAACTGCTTCTCGTGTTTGACTAAACTGTCTCCTTTCAGCCACCCACACAGAATATGCCTATGGGTCCGGGCGGGATGAGTCAGAGCGGCCCTCCCCCACCTCCGCGCTCGCACAACATGTCTTCAGATGGTATGGTAGGTGGGGGCCCTCCTGCACCACACATGCAGAACCAGATGAACGGCCAGATGCCTGGTAAGTTTTTCTCCTCTAAGACATTAACACCAGCGTTGCCTGGCAACTGAAACGACATGGGGGCTCAAGGGATACTAGATTGTTGATGACAAAACTGCTTTGAATGCCCCCGAGTACAAGCTCTCTTAGAGTTTGTTAGCTACAGAGCTACGTGACCTGTATTCAGTGTTTATCAGGCTGCCCTTGGGCTTTGATGTAGCTGACACACAGCATTCCTCTGATGAACAGAACTGGCTAAATTTAGTCTGTTTGAAACCATGCAGTACAGCTGGCTTTAGAAGGCTTATTGGGGAAAGGTATTGGCCTGTGGCTGAGTGAACACAAATCCTTCCATCGAAAGATAATGTGAAATCATCGTAGCTAAATAATTAGATAATAATAAAGTAGATATGTCTTAAGGAAGGTTTTTGAATGTGGGTAAATGTTTAAAAAAAACCCTTGTTTTCATACAGAAAATCATCCAGCTTCCACTAATCCTCTGTGTTCTTTATTATTGAAGATGTGTTGAATCGTAAAGGATTTGTAAAGAAATGGCCTCCAGATTATTGTTTTAGGTGTAAAATTTAAGTCATGTTTTATGCCATCCTGTTTTGTAATAAAAAGAAAAGTGCTTGGGAAGTCAGAAACCAAGCAGTGAAACAAGATGATAAAATTCCACATTGTACCTGCCAGTACTGGCTTTGGGGTAACTATTCCCTTTAGCAGTCAGATCAGAATGGACTAGGCCCTGGAAAAGCTTGTTTCTTTATGTAGAGGCTGTTTTCCAGAATTTCTGCTCATAAAGTCATACTGCCTATTTCTTGTGAATTGGCTTTCAGCTTAAAATTGCATTCCCAGGATTGCTTTTGTTCAGGACCTGTTCTCTTTTTTTGGTGTGGTGGGTGTTTTTTTTTTTGTATGGATGAACTTTTCATGCAAAAGTTCTTCAGGGTATTGATCCTTCCAAGAAAGGAAAAAGGCTGTCAAAGGATCTTTGAAAATTCATCTTTCAGTGGTCACAAGGATAAGCTTCATGACAGCAAACACAGTGAATAACTATGCAAAACAATATAATGTAAAAAGTACGAAGATTGCTGTAGTCTCTAATTTTGTGCAAGTCTTGATAAAATGGATCTGGTAGTGTTAGTGACAGCTCTTCTGAAAAGAGTGGCTGAATAGCCTCTAGAGGCTCTGTGTAAGAAGTGTAATAAAAGATCTGGAGAAGAAGTTAGTTTCATCATACATGTTGGTCTTGGTCTGCATTTAGAAGTGGAAAGAGCAATCTATGCTGCTCCTTAAGTAGGGCAGAGATATTCTGGTTGTGGAGTCCTCTATCCATCTCAGATCCATCAGCTCCCATGGAGAATAGCATTGCCTCTCACAAATCAGTCTCTTTGACCCTCTAGTGTAATCATATTATTGTTATTATAATGATCTTTTCCAAGGAGAAGGATTACTAAGTCACAATGTGAGCATAATGACTTCACTGCAGAGCCACGGGGGAGAAAAGTCACTCCTTAAACATACATATTTTGTAATTAGATAGAATAAGAAAAGAGCTCTTATGAAAATTTATGAAAGGTAAATAGGTTTGTTTTGGTATTCACCTAGACAGATACTTAAATAGAGTTTCCAACTAGGCTTTAATTTAGCCTTTCTTCCAACATATTCCCGTTTTTGAATGTCTGTTCCTTCCCTTCTCTATTTAAGGTTGTCTCTGAGGATGTGAAGATAAACAGCTTAGGATGAGGGCATCTCTAGTATCGGAAAGGCATGCTAAAATAACTTCATAGTTAGGCATTGGAGAAGGGGAAACAGAATCATCTTGTTAAGTGGATAGCTGAATGATTATTTTCTTGAAGTGTTTGCTGGTTTGCCTGTGTGAGCCTTTGTGTATTTCATATTTGTAATAATTTCTGCGGTGTATGCATTTGCTTTCTGTTTATAGGGCACTTAACTCTGAAGTTACGTAGACACTTTGTAATAGAAGCCAGATACAGAACCTTAAATATCTGAAGAGATGTTCTGTTCAAAAGGAATAAAGTCACTGCAATAAAAAACACGAGATGCCAGGGTTCACTACCACGAGTTGACCAGCCTGGAAGAAATAAAATGCAGGATCTTAATAACAGCTGAGGATTTTTGGAAGGCCTTACCTGAGTAGAGGCTTACACAGGACTGAGTTTTGGTGGAAGGGATGATGGTGCAGAGAGGTGGGTGTTGGTCTTGTCTCCCAAGTGACAAGTGATAGGACAGGAGTAAATGGCCTCAAGTTTTTCCAGGGGAGGTTTAGACTGGAAATTACAAAAGATTTCTTCACCAAAACTGTTGTCAGGCATGGGAACAGGCTGCCCAGGGAAGTCTGGGTTGAGTCACCATCCCTGGAGGTATTTAAGAGAAATGTGGACAAGGTGCTTGAGGACATGGTTTAGTGGTGGTATTAGCAGTATTAGGTTAACGGTTGGACTTTACGATCTTAAAGGTCTTTTCCAACCAAAAAGATTGTGTGATTCTGTGGGAGGATTAGAAGAACTGCCTAGTGATGGTCAGGGCATGAGTTCATTTAGAGGACTTCTGTAGACCTGTCCCATTACCTAAAGGGCAAAGGATGATTTTTCTCATACTTGTCTTCTGGTTAATAAAGGACCTGAAGTGCTGCTGAGGCCCTTAACTGCATCCCCTGGTAAATGACTGCCTGTTACCCTCTTAGGAGGGAATACAGTCATGCCGTACCTTTTTCAGCCTGTGGTGCAATTGAGTGTTATCTGTACCTGTGACAGGTTGTGGCTTTTACCTGAAAAAAATTACTGTTTGAAGAGTTAACTTGACTGAGAGTGTGTGATGCAAAGTAAGGGTGACCCAGATTTGGAAGTAGACGATGAACTGGGTTTTGCTGGTGGCAAATTACCTTCCTGATTTCTTGAGCTTGTTTTCTCACGTGTAGAGAGTTGGAAGGTAAGACTAGCCGTAGGGTTCTCTGACCTTTGTCCTGGCACTGGTAGGCCACCTTCCTGAATAACAGGTGCTTCTGTGTTACTGACAAGTTCTCTCAAAATCGTCCTTTCCTCCCTGCCAATGTAATCTCAAACACACTTAGGCTGGCTTGCGGCTTCTCAAAGCTAAGATACTGGCCATAAGTGTTTAAGAGAAAGAAGGTTTTCCTTTTATAATCTAGATACTTAGTAGACTAACTTCATTGTAACACAGAATCTAATTAGTATAGCATTTAAAGCAGTTATTTTAATGGCAGATATGCACTTCATCTCTCATTCATATTCCGTTATTCCTATTTCGTTTATTCATAAGAAAGAAAAAATCAGCTGCTATGTTCTTATGTGCAGAACCCTGTGAAGTATTTTGGCAAACTGTAAAAAAAAATTGTGAAGCGTGTTCTTAGAATTTTTCATTTGCAAGGTGTTTTGATACTGTGGTCTTAGCATTTCCTCTGTCCTTGTCTTCTGACTAGCATACTACCTGATTTTGACCTCAGAACGTGTGCATGCCTGATGTTTCATACGCCTGCTTTTTCTGATGAGTGTGTTCTCCTGTTTTGATGTTACCTGAGATGTGAAGTGCAAATTAGCCTTTTAGAAAAGGTGTTTTAGTTTTTCAACTTCTCTTGCAATGATTTTTGCCTCCCCCGTTTTACTGTTTACATATAACCACAGACTGGTTTGTGTTGGAAGGGACCTTAAAGACCATCTAGTTCCAACCCCCCTGCCATGGGCAGGGACACCTTCCACTAGACCAGGTTGCTCAAAGCCTCATCCAGCCTGGCCTTGAACACTTCCAGGGATGGGGCATCCACAGCTTCTCTGGGCAACCTGTTCCAGTGCCTCACCACCCTCTCTGTGAAGAATTTCTTCCTGATAACCAATCTAAACCTCCCCACTTTGAATTTAAACCCGTTACCCCTTGTCCTGTCACTACAGGCCCTTGTAAAAAGACCCCCCCTGCTTCCTTGTAGCCCTTTCAGGTACTGGAAGCTGCAATGAGGGCTCCCCGGAGCCTTCTCCAGGCTGAAGCATGACATAACCAGTTTTGAAAAACTTACCCTACTGTGTGCTTGGCTAGTGCTCTGAAATATATTATTGGCAGTTTCTTCCTTTAAACAAAAAGGAACAAACCTATTCCCAGGCCCTGGCCTTCTGAAAGTAACCCTGCGTATTCCTTCCTGCATATTTCTGTTCTTAAGGAAGAAATTAAGAAAGTGGTGCTCTAGCTGTCCTGCAGTAGTTACTTGGCACTACAGTCTGGAGCTTTTCTTCACCTTAGCTTTACTTCAACACATTGATGATTGATCTCATTTTATCAGCATTAAACAGTGTCTGTGTTCTCACTATTACAGAGTCGGGCAGTGCTGAACTGAAGAGGGGACAATATAGGCATCTACAGTTCTCTGTGATGGTCACAGTCCTATTCAGAGTTATTTTTTCCTGCATTTGTGGTGGATCTGCCTTTGTACAATTCAGCAGTCTCTGCTCACCTTGTTTGTAGGAACAGTGAACTGCGTGAGATACCCTTTTTTTTTCTAGGTTTTCCGCTTTCCTTGGTAAAATAAGCTTCTGCCTTGAAAAGGGCAAGAGGATAAACATGTTAAATGTGTTCTCTCTTTCTTCATGTTGGCTTTTAGTAGCTGTGTTCCTTGATCATTGTCTTTCTCTTCTGCATCATTTTATTGGCAAGTCAGTTGGTATTGCCTCTGTCACCTTGTGTACAACTCTCTATGTCCTTATTTTAGCCTTCATTCTGTCCTAGATTAGTAGTTATTTCTCTAGCCAAGAGAGAACGTGGAAGCTGATTACATCTGAAGGCAGACACCTCTTATTTATTTTCCTCTGCACAGGGAGATATATAACCAGTTCACAATCTTCCTACAACTCTACCGGCACAGTTTCTTTTAGATTCCTCTTCTGAGTTTTCTGCATTTCTTTTTTTTTTTTTTTTTCTTTTGGTAGCTTAACAAGAAACCTGTGGTGTGTTAGGCAACAATTGCATCTTCATGCTGAACTCTGTATATATCAACACTTTGCTTGTTTACAGTTGACCTACTCTGTCACCTGCTCTGGCTGTACATACCTTCATAAACCCTTCATGTGGTGCTTGACACATGCATAATCCTTGCATTTCATTTACTCGTTTTGCTTGTCATAGTTATATCCAGTCTCTACTAATTTTACTCCTAGTAGCTGCTCACTTACCCCAGTTAAGTAATGACTAAACTGATCAGATGGTTTTGTAATGTTTATTACTTTTTAAAATACCCACTGAGAATAGATTTAATTCAGAGACCAGTCCAATTCTAACCTGTGTTGTCAAGTAGAGGTGAATTAAAGGGTGAAGAGATGTAGTTAACCTCATGGGTATATGAACATGTTGCTCTTCCTTTGAATGTGTGCAAGCATGAGAGGTGAGCTGATTGATAATTTGATGGCTGTCCTTCCAGTCATCATCTCCCACCCTAGTAATCTGTAAATACAGTTGCAGAATATTGGCTGTAGATTGTACATTCAAACAATGTTCAGTTTGCCTTCAGCTGTTCAAATACACTCTACAGGTATTTGTACCATGTCAGTGTTAATACTGCCTGACTTCTGAAATAAAAAAAATAGTAACTGTTGCTTTCAGAAGAGAGTCTAGTATGGCTTATTTGAATAAAAGAAATGGTACAGCTATTGTAATGATTAAGTGTAGCTGTGATGGAGCCACCGAGCTGGCTGTTAAACTGATACTGTGCAATGCAGCCTGAAATTCAGGGCGTGTTGTATGAGTACTATAAAGGCTGGTTTTGCATATGATATGGATATAAGATGAGCTGTAGGATATTTTACGCCTTTGCTTTTGTACCTTCAGCTGCTCAACGAAAGAAAATGTGTTCTACTGTAACTTTTTTTTTTAAATTTAAGTTGGGGCATCATGAGCAAACTCTGTTTTAATGTATTTGTATTTGATTTATTTTGTTTTGTGTTTCAGTGTGACTCTATTTGCTTGTTTTATGATCGTTACTGTAGAACCTTTTTTTCCCTGTTTTCCTTTCTGAAGGACCTAACCATATGCCTATGCAAGGACCTGGACCTAACCAACTCAATATGACAAACAGTTCCATGAACATGCCTTCAAGTAGCCACGGGTCGATGGGTGGCTATAATCACTCAGTGCCATCCTCACAGAGCATGCCGGTGCAGAATCAGATGACGATGAGCCAGGGACAGCCGATGGGCAACTACGGTCCCAGACCAAACATGAACATGCAACCAAACCAAGGTGAGTGCGGTGCTTGTTAGCTTTTGTAAGAAGGAAACATCTCCCATACAGGCTTTTTAAAGGTCTTTTCTTGCAGACTTCCTTCTTTAAATGCATTTGTACCCGTGTTTGGAGGACTCTCCATCTCCTTTCTCCCATGTGTCAGTGTGTAGACATTGAACTGTTTTCAGCTATTGTGTGAGAATCTGAGAATGGATCTGCTTTCATCAGTTACAAGTTTGAAGTACCGTTTATCTTTCTGAGACTTTACACTTCTATCTAAGTGTTATTATTGCTCGAGTTGATAAAATACATCTCTTCGGTCTCTAGGGTAAACTGAAAAATTAGTCAGATAGCCCTTAGATTTTTATATCTAATTAAACCTTGTTCTTTGCCATATGCTGCTTTAGCATGGAATGTCTGTTATTCTTAAAAGAAATAAGATCCAGTTCCAGGAACAAGTCCGGTACTCCCTACTTCTTTTTTTCTCAGGAGGTGCCCTTGGGGATGTCCTAGATACAAAATTAGTTTTGAATTTTAGGATATTTGTATAACATAAACAGTTGATGTATCCTGCTGACAGTCCAGTCCTTGAAGTGCAAGGACATTTCAGAATTAAAATATTGCATTAGAGTCACAACAGACCAAATTATTAAACTGTGTATATATACTGCATATTCTTGTAAGTGTGCTTTACAACTCAGCAAGCAGTATTTTCAGTTTAGCTCTTACATCTCTCACTACTTCGGATCTGGACATACCACCTGCTAGAAGACATACAGCAGAATGTTTTTAAGAAATATTTCTGCCATGTTTAATGCAAGTTGTGTGGGTGTTGGTGGTTTTTTTTTTCCCCCCCCTAACCTCTGTGAACGCATGGATAAATTATTTGAAGGATAGGACTTGAGGTTTTTGTCTCTATGTAGGAGAACATGTTGGTTTTGTTGGTTTTTTTTTTTCTTTCTTTTTCTAAGGCTCCCTTCTTGGTCATGGTAGAAAAAATAATCCTCTGGTAGTGTGGGTGGCTCTTATTGCAGTATAATCTTGTTGGAGACTGAAGCTCCACTTTGTTACATAGATACCGTTCGTTCCTGAGCTGTACAAACAGACCAGGTCATACTTATCAGTCCGAGTAGTAGATGACAGAAAGGTTCATAACAGAGAAAAGACGAAGTTAATGAGAGACCAACAATGAGTCAAGATGAAACAGCTGTTTCTGCAGTTTTTTTTACCAGTAATGAAAGTGGGAAGTCTGACTCTTTCATTATCCACATTGTTAATGGCATTTTCCTTAAAACTTAACAGCAGAGTAAACACAGCATAGTTACATAGCAGTGGAAGCTGTCACAAGTGGGAATATTTTTCAGTCTCTCTGAAGTGTGAAGTTACCTGTATATTCTGGCCAATACACAGCGGAGTAATTTTGCAAATGTGGGATGCTTTAGAAAAGTCCTGTGCATGCTCAGTTCCAGTTTTGTAGTTGCAGAGAGTTAGCAGTGAGTATGTAGCAGTATGTGCGAGGGAGCCATCCGCTAAGTTGCTCTACAAAAACAGCCAACAACTTACTTCATACGACTGGCTTAGAGTTTAGGACTAGTAATTATTCCATTTCGAAGTAGTGTTCTTTACTCTTCCTCATTCCCCTGCTGTATTTTCAGTACTCTGTCGAACTTGAAAATTCCTCATTAGAAATTAGGCAGAAAGATACTTAAAAGGCTTCTGTTCTGAACAAATAATAGTTCTGAATTGGCTTTGGGGAATAAAGAATAAAACAGCGTCTCTTTAAATTATATGTTCAAGAACAAGAGCAAAATCTCTGGTTAGACCAAGAGCTGGTACCATTGACTGTACTTTGGGCCACAGTAAGTTTTCACATTGAGTGATTTTGTAATTTTGTACATTTTGTCAAATCTTGACCCTTTAGGCCAAAGACTTTCTATTCCAAATGTCTGCTCCAAGGCTGGGTTTTTTTGGTTTTTTTTTTTTTTTTTAGCGGCGTTTGTTTTTGTGGGGGTTTTTTTGTTTGCTTGGTTTGTTTGTGATTTTTCTTTTTTTTTGGAAGCTTCATAGAAGTAGAGAGCCATTTCTGACAGTGGGGAGAAAAATTACATTCTTTATAATATTTCAAAAAACATGAGTAAATAGAGCACTTCCTATGTAAATGTAGGAGCGCAGGTGTCCTTTGCTTTAGAGCAAAGCTTTGAAACTTGTCTGCTATGCCAGCAAGGTGTTATTTGCTGTTTAAATGAAAATATTGCCCCAAAGTAGCCAAATTCTAAATACCTGTGGGGGAAGAAGTCTTGAAATTTGAAGACGTGCATCTTTGTTATGTATTGGTAGCTCAGGTTTTTTGACATAAGAATATTCTGTGAGTCTACTTAATACTTCTCCTCTATCTTCTACTCTTAGTTGTTGTCTTTGTATTGAGATTGGGTGACAAATTAGAGGAAATACTTTTGTATCTTCACTTTGTTGTGACTCCAGGAGAGCGGGGGAGAGAATGGCAGAGAAGTGTGTGGCCATGAGAGCTTTAGTCAGGTAGCCAAGATGCAGCCTAGCCAGGCAGAGGGTCTCAGCCAAGCACAGATGCTGCAGACCTCTCTTCTAAGTGAAGAAACACAAATGAGCCGTTAGGAAATGCATTGAGATGTAGTTTAACAAAAAACGAATAAACAGTTTGTGACCTGAAAATTTCTGAATTGGTAGTGTGTGCGCTGCCTTTCAGAAACAGAAATAAACTAATGTTTTCTGAACAGCAGTATTGCTGTCAGGAGGCATGGGTGAACCCCTAAGCACACATTGTTTCTTACAAAGGGGTGATCTGTATGGACAATCCTACTATATCTGACATTTTGTAAGAGCACTAGCTAAATATAATGATAAAAATTATGCAAGATAAGGTCTTAGCATCTCAGGTTGACTGTTAAAAATTAGTAGATGTTTTTGACCTCGATCTTTCCCTGCATGGGTTCCCCATCTGCAGAGGAATGAATCTAATGGTTAGGTCATAATACCATCTGATTTCACAGGAGTGTTGTGAAAGTATATTCATTAGGAAGATTTGGACATTTTAGTTATGAGTGCCATAAGAAAACTCTTGACTGAATTAATAATTCTGTCTTCAGCGTTTGACACGGCATGGCATCTCACATGAACAATCAGGAGGAAACAAAATATTGAAACGGTTTTCCGTGTATAATCATAGAATCATAGAA